CTTGTGCGCTTTTTCCAGCGAAGGAAGGTCAGATGGGAACTTGGCGATCTCTGGCAGCTTGGTCTCCAGCACCTGGCATGCACAAACGCACACATGCACGCACGGACGAGGGAGAGAGGGGGAGGTGGGCGGGAGTGAGGGAGGGAGGGAGGGAGGGAGGGAGGGAGGGAGGGAGGGAGGGAGGGAGGGAGGGAGGGAGGGAGGGGGGAGGGGGAGGGAGGGAGGGAGGGAGGGAGGGAGGAAGGGAGCGAGGGCGGGAGGGAGGGGTAAACAGAGAAAAGGCTCTTAATCCGAGAAGGAAGAACTATGCAGGTCACCTTAGCGACACAAAGATAATCAGGATAATCAGGCCAGTCACGCACCTTAGCAAGGTAGTGCAGGAGAGTCATCTTGCTGTTGCGTGTTTTGGTGTCCGTGAGCTTGAGCAGGCTGTCCAGCTTGAAACCCCACAGCAGCACCTGCTCAGAGCGAGAGGGTGGGGTGGGGTGGAGAGGGGTGGGGAGGAATGACGGTTGGAATCTGTGGGGGGAAAAAAAAAAAAAAAAAATCAGCTTGAGCAGGCTGTCCAGCTTGAACCCCACAGCAGCACCTGCTCAGAGCGAGAGGGGGGTAACCCACAGGTGGTGGATGAGGAGAAAGGGAAAGAGCGGTGGCCGAGGGGAGGGCCCAGGATGAGGGCAGGAGGGGAAAAGAGAGAGAAGGGAAGGAAGGTAGGGGGCCAGGAGAGGGAACGGAAGGGTTTGTGGAAGGAATGGGAAAGGTGAGGGGAAGCGAGGAGGCAGGAGAGGGACCCACGTGAGTGAGTGAGTGAGAGTGTGAGCGGGCGAGTGAGTCAGTGAGAGAGTGAGTGAGTAAGTGAGTGAGTGCGATGCGTACCACGAGCAGTGCCTTGGTTGAGAGCGTTGCCAAGAGACAGGATGGTCTGCATGATTCGACGCAGGCGGAATGACTCGCGAATCTGGATTGGGCATGGGCATGGGGCATGGGGCATGGGGCATGGGGGATGAGACATGGGCCATGAAGCACGGGGGCTTGGGGCACAAGCATGTGACGGAGCAGCAGCAGCAGCAGCAAAGCAGCAAAAGGAACAGGAGTAGCAGAAGAAGGACAGCAAAGGGAGGAGGAGGAGCAGGAGCAGCAGCAGCAGGCTCACCTCCTTGCATGCCTGTATGACCAGCTCCATGCTGTGCCGCACATCCACTGCCTGTGATGCCACCAAACAACCAGCCATGGTGGTGGTGGGTGGATGAGTGTTGCGGGATGAGGGACGAGGGATGAAATGATCAGGTGGTGAGGGATGAGGAAAGGAACGAGGGCAGGCACATGCCAGGAAGTACCAGTAGGAAAGCAAAAAAACGGGACAGAAGAGGGCGGAAGCGAGGAAGGTCCTGGGACTACGGAACACGCGTGGCAGCGGTTAAGACGATGAAGGTAGGAGGGTTGGGTCGCAGGGACAGACGGACCTGTCGTGAGAAGGAGAGCTTGAACTGGAATGCGAGGAGCTTGCGCTCCATGCGAGGCACTCGCATCATTTCCAGGAAGAACTGGAAGGCAGAGCACGGGTGGGAGGGAAGGGAAAGGAAAATGGATGGATGAGCGTTTTTTTAGAATTCTCAAAAATCGCTCATTGAGAACGGGAGGGAGGGCAGGAAAAAGACAATGGAATAAATAAGTGCGATGTGTGGGCGGAGAGGGGGGCCATAGTGGTTGAAGTGATGGTTCTTGATATGATGACTGTTGCGCTGGATCAGTGAGGGGGGATTGAGTGGTTCGGATCAAGAGACTTTGTGCACTAGCGGAAGGAAGAAAGCAATGAAGGTGTTTCGTGCTTGCTTGCTTACCTGCTCGCATAGTCCAGCGTTTCCTTTGGCCCAGGGAAAGACTGCAGCAGGTAAAACATGCACATCCACATCATATGCCCATGCACATGTACAGGAACATGCACACCCACATGCACAGGAATATGCACACCCACATGCAGGACACACATGGCACGGACACACAGAGATGAGCAACATTAACACCGGGAACAAGATCTGGGCTGGGGAGGAAGCACAAGCAAACAGCAAAACACAGCAGCATCTACGCAGTGACGCACTGCATTCAGTTTCCTTGCAACTTAAGTGGCCGAAATGAAACATCTTGCGCCATGTCATGCCAAGTCATGCCACCTCCCTCCCGAGGCCCACAGCCCACGCGTCAAGAGACCAGAGCAGAGCAGACCAGAGCACAAACCAGAGCAGACCTTGAGCAGTTCCATCTCTTCCTTGGTGGGGCTGAACTTATGCAGGGCCTCCACACCCTCCTCGTTCAGCACTGTCGTGTCCAGAGCCAGCACGGCGTCCTGCAGTGGTAGCAGGGCATAACAAAGGGAGACAGGAGCGGGAGATGAAGTGAAGGGAAAGATGTTTAGGGTGCTTCTGTGCGCAGAGCCTTCTCGCCCTCATTAATGTATTAATGAAAGTCGTGGAGGGAAAGCAGGAGGGGAGAGGTAAGGGGGGGCGCGGGGGGGGGGGGGGGGGGGTTGGAGGTTAAGGTGTTGCGTGCAGAGCCACAAGACAAGCTGCTGGTTTGGTACGAAAGAGTCACCACAAGCTGTGGTTTGGTTTGGTACGAACGACTCACCACAAGCTGAGCATAGGTATACTTCTTGAATTGGAGAGCATGATGAGACAGTTGTTGGAACGCTTCATGTCAATCTGCACACAGTCCAAGGCCGGATGGGGATTACATTAAGGGAGGAACTGAGAAGGTGCAAGAAGCAGGGCGCAGCAAAACGAGATGAAACAAGACAGAACGCAGAGTACAGAGTGGCAGGACGGGGTTAGATTAGGACTGTGCAAGAGGTAGGGAGGAGGGGGCGGAATGGGAAAAGGAGTGGTAGTTGTATCTTTGTAAGAGGGGGAGGTGGAACAGGGAGGGGGGTGAGGGTGGGGGGAGGGGCGGGGAGGTGGGATTGGGAGAGAGGGGAAAGGAAGCACGAAGCGAGAAAGGAGGGAAAGTAGCATGTGTGTGTGCAAACCGAACGGGCAGGCGGGGGATATGGATATGGGAGAAGGTTAGAGGGAAGAAAGAAAGAAAAAGCCAAGCCCAATCCAACCCACCAGGGTAACCTTCTCCACTTTGGTTGCCTCCTGCTGCTTCGCCTTGACTGCCTTGGGTGGCGGTGCTGCTGCTGAGAAGAGATCCTCTAGCTCCTCCAAATTCAGCTCCAGGTTGCTGCACACAGGGACGGAGGGCACGGGGAGAAAGGCAGAGGGGGGGATAATAGAAATTTGAGTTGTTTCGAAGCTTGCCTTGGGTGGCGGTGCTGCTGAGAAGAGATCCTCTAGCTCCTCCAAACTCAGCTCCAGGTTGCTGCGCACAGGGAGGGAGGGCACGGGGAGAAAGGCGGAGGGGGGGGAATAATAGAAATTTGAGTTGTTTCAAAGCTTGCCTTGGGTGGCGGTGCTGCTGAGAAGAGATCCTCTAGCTCCTCCAAATTCAGCTCCAGGTTGCTGCGCACAGGGAGGGAGGGCACGGGGAGGGAGAAGGCGGAGGGGGGAATAATAGAAATTTGAGTTGTTTCAAAGCTTGCCTTAGGTGGCGGTGCTGCTGAGAAGAGGTCTTCTAGCTCCTCCGATTTAGCTCCAGGTTGCTGGACACAGGTGCGCACGGGGGTGTGGGGAAGGGGGCAAGAGAAGGGAGGAGGGGAGGAAAGGCGGATTGGGTACACACACATGCCACAGGGAAAGATGGTAACGCGTATACACAGATGACTCCAAAAACAGACTCAGGCGGGAAAAGGGTGAGGCCTCCTAGTGCAGGTAGGGGTGAATAGGGGCTTCTGTTTGGGAAGTGCGCGTGGATGGAAGGGAGGGAAAGGAGGGAAGGAGGAGGAGAAGTGCAGATGGTTGAGGGACAGACTGGGAACATCGATTTCTAGAGCCTGGGCTGGGTTGCAGATGTGTCTACACTACACCAAACACATGGCCAACCAGAGCAGCAGCAGCAGCAGCAGCAGCATCACCACACCACCACCACGTACACTCTGCTGTCTGGGTCACTCTGAGGACACCACCCATAGGCTATCCTCCACTGGCCGTACAACTTTGCCCCAAGTAAAACGACTTGAGAGGGGTCCTCCTCACACCTGCACCAGCAGCCCCAGCTGCCCCTGCCTGCTGATGGTAGTGCTGCTGATGTCCCCCACTCCCGCCCCTCTCCCTGCCCCTGGGGGAGGAGGGGGCGCCAGCTTCCCCCCAGGGGGAGGAGGTGGCGGAAGCTTTCCCCCAGGAGGGGGAGGGGGCGGAGGGCCTTTGGATCCGGGGGGAGGGGGAGGGGGAGGGGCGCCTGGGGGACCTCTTGGTGCGCCAGGGGGGGGAGGGGGAGGGGGGAGGGGCGCCTGGAGGACCTCTTGGTGCGCCAGGGGGGGAGGGGGAGGGGGAGGGCCGCCTGGGGGCCTCGTGGTGCACCAGGGGTGGGCGGGGGGGCGGGGGGGTGGGGGACCAGGGGGACCGCGGGCTCCAGGCGGGGGGGGGTGGGGGGTGGGGGAGGTGCGCCCCTCCCAGGGGGAAACGGGGGAGGGGGAGGTGCACCTTTCCCTGGGGGAGGGGGAGGAGGGGGAGGAGGGGGAGGTGGGCCTCTGCCTGGAGGAGGTGGGGGGGCGGGGGGGGCGGGGGCGGGGGAGCAGCGCCAGGAGGAGGGGGGGGAGGGGGAGGCGAGCGGTGGGCGAGCGGGTGGGGGAGGCGGAGGAGGAGGGGGCGGAGGGGGGGCTGATCCGGGAGGAGGTGGGGGGGTGTGGGTGGAGGAGGAGGAGGGGGTGGCACTGCGCTTCCAGTTGTGTGAGGAGGTGGAGGCGGAGCAGGGGGGGGAGGTGGGGGAGGTGGTGGGAAAGAAGGAGGAGGTGGTGGGTGTGCTCCTGTTGAAGAAGGGGCTGGAGGGGAGGAACTGGAAGGAACTGCTGTGCTGCGAGCAGATGAACGAGGGGGGGAGCAGGAAGAGGCACTGTTCGAGAAGAAGCAGCAGCGGGATTCTCAGCTGCATCGCCCCTTGTTGAATTCTCAGTGCGTACTCCATCAAAGCCACTTGCACCAGCACCAGCACCAGCACCAGCACGAGCTGCACCAGCAGCACCAGCACCAGCACCAGCACGAGCTGCACCAGCAGCACCAGCAGCAGCAGCAACGGCTGGAACAGGAGCGCTGAGAATCACAGCCGCAGCGGCAGCAGCAGCAGCGTTTGGTGTGTGCACCTTATTCAGCTTCAACCCCACATCACCACCACTGAACCGCCGCTGAAACTCCTCACCAGCCCCGAACCCTTCCTCTCCTCTGCTCCCTCCATCCCAATCCCCCCAGTCGAATGCCGCTTCCCACTCCCTCTCCCACCACCCCCACCACCACCACCACCACCGCCCCCGCCCCCGCCCTCTCCTCCAGCCAGCATGTGACCAGGAGGAGGCCACACCACATGCAACTTATGCCTGGCAGACAAACACTCATCCAGCATTGGCTTAGGCGAACTATGTGCGACCACTCCTGCCCCCGCCCCTGCTCCTGCCCCTGGCGCCCCCTCCTTCTCCTTATCCTTCTCCAGCTCTTGCAGCAAGCTCAATCTCAGCTGCGCTACCCTGCCTGATCGGCTCCCCAGAGACGCCAGTTCCGACCCTAGTCTGGGCGCAGAGGGACTGTCCATGGACCCTTTCCCCCCCTTGAAGCTCCCTCCTCTGCTGTCCAAAGACGCGCAACGCTCCCGCACAGACAAAGGAGCCCCGTCATCCGCCCCGCCGCTTCGTCTGCTGCTGCTGCAGCGGCGGCTGAGACCATTGCTGTCGTCTCCGTCGTTCTCCTCCCCCCCCCCATCACTGCTCCCCCCTCCATCATTATCCGCTGCAGCGCTGTCAGGGATTTTGAGCGACAGGCCCTTTACAAACTCCCTCCGAGACTTCCTGCGAGATTCATTCCAATCTGAAGGTGATCCTTCCGTGCTTTCTGCTCCACCCTTCTCGTGCGTCTCATGCCCTGTTCCTTCCGTCCCACCCACCTTTCCCCCATCTCTCAACCCTCCCAAGCCTTGCCCGTCACTTCCCCTGCCTCCTGCTGCTTCCACACTCACGCCACTCGACCTTCCACCTTCCATTCCCTTCCTCCTCGCCTCCCCTCCAACAAGCGACTCCTTCCCTCTGCCGCCCTCCGCCTTGCTCAAATCACTCACTCTTAATCCCGCATCACCCCTCGCTGCCAGCACAGCAGGCAGAGGAAGATCATGCTCAAAACGGAAAAGTGAAGGTCCACCACCGGCCAGGTCCAGGGGTAAGAGAGCGAGCTCATGCGCATGCTTGTGACCGCGGGCCTGCTTCAGCTTATGCCGCGGAATCTCCAGCAGCTCTTTCCCTCGCAGCCCGTGCAACCCATCCCTTGCTCGCCCCACCCCGGCATGTTTGTCACTGTCAACCCCCCCAGCTGTTACTCCTCCTCCTCCTGCTCCTGCTGCTGCTGCTGCTGCTGCTGTTTCTTCTCCCTATACCCGGCCCTGATTCACCCTCGACTGACCTCCGACCAAACCCTAAAACTAGCCCAGCGGTTCCTCTTGCACTGGCCAAATCCCCATGCTCACCCACGGTTGAAGCTGCAAAACCCACTACACCAGAGTGATGATTCTCAGTACCGTTTTCCACTCCCCCCCCTCCCCTTCCACCTCCTGCAATCCCTCCATCCAGACTGCTTCTAAGCCCTGCGCCAGATCCAACACTTCTTCCACCACCACCACCAACACCAACACCACCGCCACCAGCAGCACCAGGTGCACCAAACCTGCCTATGACCCGCAGCATCCTCATCTGCTTATCTTGAGAGCCTTCCTCCCCCACCCCTTCCTCCTCCTCGTCCTCCTCCTCCTCTTCATCCTCCTCCACAGACCCCCCGAACAGCACTCCCACGCTCAACGCACTCACATCCACCTTCCCTAGTCTGCCTGTCTGAGCTGCTTTTCTACCTGCTCTCTGCCTGGCTCTACTTACACTACCACCACTGCTACCGCTCCTACCACCACCACCAGCAGCAGCAGCAGCAGCAGAAGAACTGCGAGGAGAGGAGAAAAGCTTGTGATTGGCGGGAGGTGATGAGCTGGACTCTCTGGTGGATCCCCGCGAGCCAATCACATCGCTGGAGAGCGTCGGTGACGTGTCACGAGATGATGACTCATCACCAGGCTCATCAACAAGCTTGGAGAAATCAGCCTCCTCATCCTCCTCCACGTCATGAATAGACCACTTGGGCAGTGCCTCGTGTTGCCGATCATTCGCTGACGTGGACGTAAACAAAGCAGGAGAGAGCGGGCTGGAAAAATCACCAGAACCACCACCACTACCACCAGCACCGGATCTTCGCAGCAGCTGCACCTGGGGATGAGTGAGCCTGCCAGAAAAACCACCACCAGCAGTAGCAGCAGCAGCAGAAGCAGCTCTTGGCGAGCAAACAGCAGACGCGACAGCAGAGCCACACAGCGACCCAGCAAGCGACCCTAGAACAGACCCCGAAACCGAGCCCGACCCAAGCGACGCCGCAAGCGAAGGCGGAATCGAGAACCCAGGAGAACCAGGTGCTCCTGCTACTCCTCCTCCTGCTCCTGAGGCTTCCCCCAGCAGTTGCATGCGGAGATGATCCAGAGCCCTGCGACTGTCGTCAGCAGACCAGTGGGACGACTGGAAGAGAGCAGCGAGCGTCTGAAAGTCCTCGTCCGGGAGAGGGGAGGAGGATGCTGATGATGGGGTGGTGGAGTGGTGCGGTGAGAACCTGGAGGAATCGCTGTGGAAGAACCTGGGCGAGGGCGTGGGTGGGATGTCGTGATCTGGGTCTGCGAATAGAAGCTGCAGAGGAGAGGGGGAAGGGTTGGGTAGACAGAATGGGAGATGTTTTCTTAGTCGACTCAAAAACGAATTTGGGTGAGTGGGTGGGTGGGATGTCGTGGTCTGGCTCTGCGAATAGAAGCTGTAGAGGAATGAATGGGTGGAAGGAATGGGGGAAGAGGGAGGGTGAGGTTGGGGGTCACAATTGTGAGCAGACAGCAGAGCAGGAGAGGTGGAAGGAGGGGAAGGCCACAAAGCAAACATCAGCGGGGATGGCAGAATGAACGACCGTTGTTGCTTGCTTCATGTCAATCAACCTACGACCTGCGACCAGCAGCTCCTTCCTTCGCCCTATCTCCCTCACCTCGACCCGGAAGTCCTCGCTCTGAGAAGCTGGCACTGGCGACCTGCGACCTGCCGCTCTCCCTCTCTCTCACTCTCTCCCTTTCTTTCTGACGCCCTCTCTCCCGCTCTCCCTCGCTCTTCCTCTCACCTCGACCCTGAAGTCCTCTGAGAAGCTGGCATTGCCGACCTGTGACCCGTGACCTGCGGCTCTCCCTCCTCCTCTCGTGCCTTATCTCTCTCACCTCGACCCTGAAATCCTCGGAAAAGCTGGCGCTGGCGTCCCAGAGAATGTCGAGCTGGTGGCGGTCGAGCAGCAGCATGTTGGAGCGCAGGAAGGCCGTGTTGAACACCACCTGGAACATCACCGCCTCGCCCTCGCCCTCCTCGTCCACATGCACGCACTCCACCACCACATCGCCCTGCACCGCCACCTGCACGTTCACTTTTACCACCTCCGTGTCACCCTGGGAAGAGGCAGTTGGAGTGGAGGAGCGGGAGGAAGAAAGAAACGAGGTGTTAAGACGGTTCAACGGCACGCACTCCACCACCACGTCGCCCTGCACCGCCACCTGCACTTTCACCTGCACCACCTCCGTGTCGCGCTGGGGTGAGGGGAGAGGGGACGAGGGAAGAGAGGATGGATGGGTTGCTGTTTTAGGTGTTCCAACGGCACGCACTCCACCACCACGTCGCCCTGCACCGCCACCTGCACGTTCACTTTTACCACCTCCGTGTCGCCCTGAGGAGGGGAGAGGATGAGAAGGGGGAGGGGATGGTTGGTTGCTGTTTGTGGCGGTTCAATGGGATGCACGAACTCCACTACCACGTAGCCCTGCACCGCCACCTGCACGTTCACCTTCACCACTTCTGTGTTGCACTGAAGAGGGGAGAGGATGACAGAGGGGAGGAAATGGTTGTTTGCTTCTTGGGGCGGTTCATTGGGACGCATGCACTCCACCACCACGTTGCCCTGCACTGCCACCTGCACGTTCACCTTCACCACTTCGGTGTCGCCCTGGGAAGCACGGGAAGGGGGGTGAGGGGTGGAGTAGAGCCTTTGCAAGGGAGGAAAAGGGTTAAGGATCTCAGACCTCCAATCAACTCCATAGCTCCACACCTCCTCTTTCCAACTCATCCCACCCACCCCTTCCCTTCATTCTACCCTCCTTTTCCGATCAGACCTCGAATCAGCCTTCAAACACTCAAAACTCGCTCCTTCTTACCTGCTTGTAGTGCGGAATGAATCCCCCTTTCCCTCCTCCTCTAGGGGTTCCCTGTGGCGTACCCCACCCTCCTCCGGGCGTTCCCCATCCCCCACCCCTTGGCGTTCCCCACCCTCCTCCCCCTCTCGGCGTCCCCCACCCTCCGCCCCCCATCGGCGTCCCCCACCCTCCCCCCCTCGGCGTCCCCCACCCTCCTCCTACAGGCGTTCCTGGCGTTCCCCACCCTCTCCCAGGCGTTCCCCAGCCTCCCCTTGGCGTGCCACCGCCCCATCCTCCCCCCGGCGGCCCACCCCACCCCCTCTGCGCCCGCTTCAGGCTGTGAAACAGCAGCGTTGTCTCCCTGTGCGTGCTCTCGGGCACCCGCCCGTAGATCTTGATAGCCGGGCGGCAGCCGCCCGCAGTATCGAATCTGGGAACCGTTCGCAGGATCATGCAGTCGAGTTGAACCACGCGCTCCTCTGGGGGCCACGTGGGCATGCTGCTGCGCCGGCTCACGTACTCAAGGTACCGCACCTATTGTGGGGGGAGAGAGGAAGGGGGGGCGGGTTTGGTTTGCGACGGGGAGGATGGGGAAGAGAGAAAAGTGAAGCCGGAAGGGGGAGATGAGGAAGGCGGGAACTAGGACGCCGGGGGTGAGGAAGATGGGAGCAAGGAGCAGAAGGAAAGAAACGGAGTGAAGAGAAAATCAATGCAGGAAGAAAAGCGAATGGAGGAAGAAGAGGGAGCACAGTAGTTGGATTGGATGCTGAGAAAAATAAACCAAAGGAGCGAAGGAAAGGGTAAACTTGAATCAGCAGGCGATCACTGAACAGGCGGTGAGTTGAGTTGTGCTGACCTGAGATGCAGTGGGGTCGACAGGGTACAGCAGCTTGAGCAACTCCCTTGAGCCTCCGCCTTTCTGCACCGCCAGCAGCGTTTCCTCCTCGCTCATGGCTGTGAGGGCGCCCTGCTTGCGGTACACCAGGAAGCACGCGATCATAAACGACAGCACAGGCCACCCGCCGTGCTCGCAGTGAAACAGCACCACGTTCTGCTCGTGATTGTGCTGCTGCTGGTGCTGGTGATCGTGATGGTGGTTAGCAAAGTTGTGATGGTTATGATGGTGCTCTGCGCGGTTGTGATGGTTATGGTGGTGGTGATGATGGCTTGTTGAATGTGACTGAGACCGGGGGAAAGGAGGAGGAGGTGGGAAAAGGGCCCGACGCGGAGGCGACGCTGCAGGTACCTGCGCAGTCTCGCCATTCCTCACCTCCATCTCACCATCCCTTCCTCCGCCCTCGCATCCATTCCCACACCCGTTCCCGAGCTCATCCAACTCTGCATCCCCACACCCTGTACCTCCATCCGCTCCTAATTGAGAAGCAGCGGCTGAAGCAGCAGCAGCAGCATCAGCAGCAGCAACAGTAGGGCTCTGGTGGTGGAAATCATCCACCTCGTCCGCGTGCTTCAGCCAGCTGTCGCTGCTCCTTAGAAAATGCTGCACCATATCGAGCGGCAGAATCGGACACCCCTCATAGTGCCGCGGATACTCCAGCACAGTCATCTCGAACTCCGCCAGAACCTCCGCGAGGAGGCTCCGCCGGGAGGACGACGCGGACGGGTGGCCCTGGCGGAAGTTGAAGACGAGGAAGGAACCCTCAGGGTAAGTCTCGTTGAGCTCCGCCGCGACCTGGTGTAGGTACGCGCGGTAGGTCTCCTTGTCGTGGGCTTCTGCGGAGTTGCACGAGGAGAACACTGCAGGCAGGCAGACAGGCAGGCAGGCAGGCAGGCAGGCAGGCAGGCAGGTATGTGCGACGACCGGACGGGGAGCGGAGGGGACAAATAAGAGAGGATGACAGGGGAGGGAATGGGAGGGAGGAGAAGGGATGATGGGGTAAGGAAGAAGAGAAAGGTTTTGTATGTTTCGTGCAAGCTCCAATCTGGTGTGGACGGGGACGGATGGTGTCGATGGCATATGCGTTCGTGATGTCGCACCGGGGGAGGGAGGAAAAGGAATAACGGAAGGCGACGCAAGCTGGAAGACTTGCACGGACGACACGGACGAATAGGCCATACAACTGGTGGCCTTGAATCCACGGATTGCAAAATGAGGGTCTGAGGGAGGAGGATTCATGGGGACACCAAACGATACAAACTCGGCGAACAACGGCGGTTCTCTCTTAGAGTTCGACATTAATCACCCCAAGGAAACTGATAACCTTTATGCTGACAGTGTCATTATTAAACGGTTTGATGAACTTTCCTCACTGGAAAGAGACTAATGACTAAGAAAAATCATTAGTTCCTGAGAGGAAACGAGGAGGCGAGCACGCACCGTACACTCGTTCGCTAACGCAAAGGAGCCCTCTTGGTGCATGATGCTTTACGGGCTTAGGAGCCCATAACCTTCGGATAATCTGAGCCATGGCTACGGTGCCTGTTCCAACAATGAGATATCTGAGCGCACTGAATCGGCTCTATGGCTCTCGTTGAGCAACGTTAGGGTCATCGTTTCTTGTCCATTAGGAGTATTCCATTTACACTGAGAATGCCAGTACGCAAGGTGTTTGCTAGGCTCCAGCAGAAAAGCCAACAGCGGTTCCGCATATTCCTCTGTACATACGAGCCGAAACGTTCTAGGTCGGATTGAAATGGGTGCCTGCTGGTCCCACGCTGGATAAGCACTCTTGAGAACAACGATGCTCAGTCATGGAAACTAGATGCTTGATGATAAGGGTTCGACCTAGAGAACAGGAAAACCAACACCTAGGGAGGCAGGGATTGTTTTGTTGCGGCTCGGATTCACGAGCCAACCATATCGGGTGTGGAGGGGAGTGCCATTGGTTTTGCTTAGGGGAACTGGTGCAAAAACGCTCAGTCGGCGAGAATTCCAAGGGCCATCCAGGAGTTGGCGAGTTGCCGGTGTGCGACGTTACGGCGTCTGTACGACGACAGTAAGAGGTTGACGACTGACGCCAAACCGGCCATGCTTCTAGCCGATTCGCGACGACAGGGTAGCCTGGAACAGCAATTTTGCAGCAGGAGCTAGTTCTACGATCAAAGGCATCCATCCAGGTCAGCTACCCCCTGCTGCCTGCCTGCGACGACTTTGACGGGACGAGCGGAGTGGTTGCGACAGAGTCTCGCTGGAACGGATCCGTCGTAAACAACGTCGCAATCACAAACAAGCTTCGACGTTTACGTCGAAAGGGTTGCGTAGGGTTGTATCCACTGCGTTTACTAAGTTCTTCATGATGATGTATATTAACTTAAAACATGACAAGATCGATAGTCCCTTATTACGGAGAAAATACATTTTCTAGAAATTTCTTCCCTCAAAATTGTTTTGAGTGCTAACTAATATGGTTCAAATCTTTTGTGATCATAAAAAAGATGAATTGTTTACACCTAGTGCATATTCTATAGTTCTATCAGCGTACTATAGCGGGGTTTATGTTTGCAATTACTGTACCGTATCTGCTGTGTCAGCTAGTGGGATGGCGTGGCACGCATGTGTTTTCACGTGACACTAGCTTTCAAGTCTTGTGTGAGCGATTTTTTTATTTAGTATTGCCAAATGCCCAGATTTTGTTTTTTCTTGCCATTCACCCTTGTCCTCATATTACAATGTATACTGTACATTGAAAGTTTCAGTTCCTCGTTCTGCGCTGGCAAAAAAATTCTCGCCAGCTCCACGACAACCACAACCAAGGGATATCCGTCCCTATCACAGCTGTCAAACCGAATTTGACGCGCTCTTCATTTCTTGGTTCTTGTTCTTCGTTTCTCTCGAGAAGCACCTGCTTGCTCACTCTCCCCCCCACCCCATTTTCTTCTCAGCTTTTTCTCCTAACACCCCGCCATCGCTAGCACCTCCCACCCAGCCGTCGCTCTCCCTCCCATCCCCCGTATCCTCTTTCGCCCTCCTCGCCGTCGCCTCTCCCCCTTCCCGCCGTCGCCTCTCCTCCTCCCCGCCGTCGCCTCTCCTCCTTCCCGCCGTCGTCGCCTCCCCCTCCTCCCCGCCGTCGCCTCCCCTCCTTACCGCCGTCGCCTCTCCTCCCCCCGTCGTCGCCTCCCCCTCCTCCCCGCCGTCGCCTCCCCCTCCTCCCCGCCGTCGCCTCACCCTCCTCCCCGCCGTCGCCTCCCCCTCCTCCCCGCCGTCGCCTCACCCTCCTCCCCGCCGTCGCCTCCCCCTCCTCCCCGCCGTCGCCTCCCCCTCCTCCCCGCCGTCGCCTCCCCCTCCTCCCCGCCGTCGCCTCCTCCTCCTCCCCGCCGTCGCCTCCCCCTCCTCCCCGCCGTCGCCTCACCCTCCTCCTTGCCGTCGCGTCACCCTCCTCCCCGCCGTCGCGTCACCCTCCTCCCCGCCGTCGCCTCACCCTCCTCCCCACCGTCGCCTCCTCCTCCTCCCCGCCGTCGCCTCCCCCTCCTCCCCGCCGTCGCCTCACCCTCCTCCCCGCCGTCGCGTCACCCTCCTCCCCGCCGTCGCCTCCGGCGACAGGTGCACGAGCGCCAGCGCGAGTTGGTGCGCGAGCGCATTGGTGCGCGAGCGCGTTGGTGCGCGAGCGCGGATTGTTTCATGAGTTACCGTGGTTTTCAGGTGCGTTCCCGGTCCTTTCATTCTCCCTTCCCCCTCTGAAATTTCTTCTTTTTTTGCTCTCGTCGTTTTTTTTTTCGTGTGCCGATTGGTCTCCTCTTCCGTAGCTCTCTTCGTGAAGAAAGGGAGAGACGCGGAGCGCGAGGAAGAGCGAGTGCACGGGAGCGCACGCACAGGAGAGTGCGCGTGAGAGTGAGCGTGAGAGAGCGTGTGAGAGCGCGTGAGAGAGTGCGTGAAAGAGCGTGTGAGAGCGCGTGAGAGAGCGCGTGATATGGCGCGTGGGATAGGGTGAGAGAGTGCGCGTGAGAGAGCACATGAGAGTGCGCGTGAGAGAGCGCGTGAGTGTGCGTGAGAGTGCGTGTGGGAGAGCGCGCGAGAGAGCGCGCGCGAGAGTGCGTGCGAGAGTGCGCGCAAGGGAGCGCGGGAGAGAGCGCGTGAGAGCACGCGTGAGGGAGCGCGTGAGAGCGCGCGTGAGAGAGCGCGTGATGGAGCGCCGCCGGAGAGTGCGCGAGAGAGAGCGCATGAGAGTGCGCTCGAGAGTGCGAGCGAAAGAGTGCGTGAGGGAGCGCGCGGGAGAGTGCGCGAGAGTTCGCGCAAGGGAGCGCGCGAGGGAGCGCGCGAGCGAGCGCGTGAGGGCGCGTGAGTTTGCGCATGAGGGAGCGTGCGAGAGAGGCGTGAGAGCGCGCGCAAGAGGGCGCGCGAGAGTGAGCGCGAGAGTGCTGGTGTGAGTGCGAGGGCGAATGCGAGCGTGAGTGTGGATATGAGAGTGAGGGCGAATGTGAGGGTGAGTGCGAGGGAGAATGCGTGCCTGAGTGCTGCGGGTGTGTGTGAGGGTTTAGAGGTTGAGCGCGATGGTGCGGGTGTGATTGCAATGGTGAATGCGAAGGCGAGTGCAAGTATGATTCCAAGCGTGAGTGCGCGCATGTGTGAGGATGATCGTAAGGGTGAATGTTGAGGTGAATGCAAGGGTGGCCGCAAGGTTTTGCATGCATTCTGACATAATGTTTACTATCAAGTCACATTTGTAAGATGCCAAATGTAAATGTTTCCATCACTCATCTTTCGTTTGTATATTGCATTCTTCAGCTTCAATTTCTGTTCCGCTTACGTTGTTTTTTAGTGTATCGAACCATTTGTTTCTTGTGCGTCATGGAATCTGCATTCTCTGATTTTGTTTCTTTGTGCAACTCATGCAAGTTGTATTCTTTGATTTTGTTTTTGTTTGTGCAGAGAGTGAGTTGCATTCGCTGTTTCTTCTTTCCTGTGCAGGGAGTTCAAGCTCCAGTCTTCTTTTCTTGCGGAGAAAAGGGATGGGGAGAAGGGAGATGAGGGAAATGAGGGAGGGAGGGAGGGAGGGAGGGAGGGAGGGAGGGGGAGGGAGGGAGGGAGGGAGGGAGGGAGGGAGGGGAATGGGGCACAAGCTAGTGATGATTTACACAGGGCTGAACTTCATTCATTACGCTTGCATGCTTATTACCATAGCTGTATGCTTTTTGCGTTGTGTGTGTGTATGTGTGTGAGTACGTACATGTGCATATGTGTGTGGTGTTTGTTTCGAGGTGTGGTGCTAAGTGCCTCGTGAATGCAACTCGGATTGTGATCGTCGGTGGGCAGCTATGCTAGCCTCTTCCGTACCATATCAATCTTAGTTGCAGCATTGATGCATTTACCGTATCGCCCCGGATGTAAGCGCCGTCCAATTAAAGGCGCCGGCGCTTCTATCTGGAGCATGGCGCTTATGGCCGGAACTCGATTATAAGCGCCCCCCCTGTGAAACCCTGATTTATTATAAGCGCATCCATAATATTATGTTTCAATCCTGATTAAAGCGGTAACGAGTTTTGAATTTCAAGCGAGTCAGCACCCATTTTCAGTTTGTTTGACTTTCGCGGTCCTGACTGCTTTCGCGTCCAGTCAGGATGAGGTGGCAAGCTGGCAAATTGACGTGTCAAAATCTCTGTGCACTGTGCAGCGTCAGAGAATCGCCCTCACGCGATTCAGATTCTGGACGCTTTAAAATATCGACTCGATTGAACTACCGAGACTGAAATGTGTACATTTTGATGCGTTTAAGTTGTATCTTTGTACTTGTCATTATATAAGCGCCGGCGCTTATGGCCGTGACTCAATTACAAGCGCCCCCCCCTAAAAAAACCGGTTTTATTATAAGCGCACATGCGCCTATATCCGGGGTTATACGGTAGTATTCGCTTTGAAACATTCTCAATCGTTGTCCTTTGTTTTTGTGACGGTTTGTGTGTTATCGTCTGTGCTTGTTTCGGGGGTGTGGTACTAAGTGCCTCGTGTATGCAACTGGGATTGTGATCGTCGGTGGGGCAGCTTTGCTCGCCTCTTCCGTACCATATCAATCTCAGTTGCTGCATTGATGCATTTTGTATTCCCCTCAGAACATGTACGACGGTTCTTGTACACCATCGATTTTGTACCCATTTGTGTATGTGTGTGTCTTTAGGTGGTACCGTTGTACAGATTTTCTGTGTTGTTTTTGTGTTCGTGGGCCATTTGGTATCGTCATTAGTGCTAGAACGATTGTCCAATTGTTCCATTCGCCGTACTTATCGACGATTATGGAATGGTTGGAAACATTTGTTTTCATTTTTTCGGGGAATTTACCGTGAATAGTGATTTCTTTCATAATTGATGGGAGAAATTCACTGTTCACGTCAGCCAACCGAAAAGTGAAAACGAATGTATAAGTGTCAAATGCAACCCAAAAATGCCACCGTCCACGTCATCCATAGCTCAACTACAGTGCACGTGGGTCTTCTGTGACTACAGTGCAAAGTAATTACGCGTAAAGACTAGCTTGAA